ACATACACACAGAGAATTGAAATTGCGTTACTCTCAGACCCTTGGTGCATACAGATAACATAAATACAGATTAAATACAAAATACAACTATACAAATATACAAATAAGGTCAAATGTAAAAATATATATATAAAGCACAAGGCATATGGCAGATAGAGTGCAAACCAGTAAAGTAAACAACAGTGAAGAAATAGTGATTGTAGTGCAAAAAACCACACAGTGATGCAGCTGGTCAGGATGCTCTCGATGGTGCCTCTGTAGAAGGTGCACATGATGGGGGCCGGGGCTCTGGCTCTTCTCAGTTTGCGGAGGAAGTGGAGACGCTGCTGTGCTTTCTTGGCCAGTGCTGCGGTGTTGTCAGTCCAGGAGAGATCCTCTGTGATGTGCACACCCAGGAACTTGGTGCTGCTCACCCTCTCCACAGTCACACCATTGACAAGTAAGTGTGTGCCCTTGGCTTTTTGATGCGATCGACCCGGGTTCGATCCGCCTTTTGCCAAACTTTTTTTCCTCCCTTTTTAAATCTCGTATTAGCAATAGATTCTATTTACACTGAGTGAAAATAGCAGCATTTTTAGCAATATGCTATTTACACTAAGTGCAAATATCTAGTTACACTATGTTAAAATAGCAGGATTTCTACTATCAAGTATACTACTTGTTGCAAATAGTGGCAATTATCTGCTTCAGTATTGTAGTACATTATAAAACAGTATGCAATAATAACGTATTGAGTGTAAATTATAATTTAAATTATTAAATGGATGCCACCTTATTGGCACAATAAAGCCCTCCCTACACCTACCCTAACCCTACCCATACTTTATTTTCAACTTTTTGATTATTTCCTTTATTTTTATTAAAAATAAATGCCTTTACGATGTGATACGAGATTTGAAAAGGGAGAAAAAAAAAGTTCGGCAAAAGCGGGATCGAACTCGGGTCGATCGCATCAAAAAGCCAACGACACGCACTTATCCATCTGCGCCGCTGCAGCTGACGATATACAGCCACTTTTAACTAAATGTAAATAGACACCCCGTATTTTTTATTCCAGAGTAAGAGCAATTCATACAATACATTTAAACTGAGCTACTTTAACACCATCTCTGAACTTTCTACCAGGACTCTGCTGTTCTTCGGCTGGTTCTTCTCTGTATACGGTGATTGACAGATGTCTCGTCCAATCAGCGGAGAGTAATCCCAAACCAATGGCGCGGTCTCAAACTGTACCTACCTCTTCCGATTTGTCTGATTCGTCCTTGTGTTTTCTGACTTGTTATTTTGTTTTTTAGACTTGCATTTGCGTTTGTAATTTGTTCTTTTGTTTTCAGAATTGTGATTTGTTTTGCACTTCTCTGCCACCGTACTAAACAGAGTTAACTTTAACACCATGAACTCAGGTAAATTATAGATAATTATAAATTATACAGCTGTATGTGTCTGAGATCTCAGACACATACAGCTGTACAGTTCTAAATAATACAGGCTATTTTACTGAAGTATTTCATTTATGTAATGAAAAACAGGTTAAACTAATCATCACGTCTGTCAATGTTGTAGTGCCCTACTTATCTTCCCACAATCACCCGCGGGCTGCAGATGCCCTCCAGCCCAGCAGGAGGCGGAAGTGCGTCATGTGTCACATGTGAGTTTTCTTTCAGCCAGTGTGTGATTGTACAGAGAAGCGAGCAGAGGATCATGTCTTAATACCTCAAATCCAGCAGCTGAACGCATGTCTTAAATAAAGGTAACATGTTTATGATTTGTTGTGCACTTTTTGTCTCAGGTTAAGTTTTAATAGTAACACTACTAGATTTCAGCATTGTTGTTATGTAAAGGTTACATTAAAGTTGTTTTGAACTAGAATCAGTAACATTATTGGCTGGCCATATGAAGGCTGTGTACTTTACTATATTAATATCAAACAGGTTTGTCAACACTCAGATATACAGTAGTTTATGGTGATACAATATTTGACCTTTCACGCTAATAAACATATCATTTCAGGATTTATTGTGTGAAAATGACATCATATATGAAAGATCTTTGAGATTTGTGATGTTTTAAAGACAATAAAATCGTAAAAATCTAAAATTAAGGTAATTCCGAAGAAGCACCTTATCTTGTGTAAATACTCTTCTGACGCCGCTGAAGATGTGCTCCGTCAAACTGCTGGACTGCAGGAACCTGATCGAGAGCCGAGGAGAAGAGACCACCGCAGAGGAAGAGGAGGAGGAGGAGGATGATGATGAAGATTTCATTCCTCCAGGTTTGATTCTTCCTTTTATGACCTTTTGTAGTTTTTCATGGCGCTTGAATGTCAGCAGAGACTATATACATACACAGTGGGGAAAATATTTGATCCCCTGCTGATTTTGTAACTTACAAAGAAATGAAGGGTCTGTAATTTTTATGGCAGGTTTAACGTATAAGAGACAGAATACCAACCAAAAAATCAAGAAAAAACACATTATATAAAGGTTAGAAATTGATTTGCATTTCAGTGAGTGAAGTAAGTATTTGATCCCCAAGCAACCAGCAAGAGTTCTGGCTCCACAGATTGGTTATGTGCCCATGTGTAACACAGATGAGTCTTCTCAAATAATGTTCTTTTTAGCAACATCATATGACCCCTTTAAGAAGTTATCCCTAATATCAGCTCGTTAGGTGCATAAGACACAGTGTCTTACTCAGACGACCACCGGGACAAGACCACAGGAGCCAGATGAGTCCTCTGCACAATGTGACTTTGCTGCAGCCTGGAACTGAACTGCTGGTTCGTCTGGTCAGAGGAGAACTGGCCCCCCGACTGAGCCTGGTTTCTCCCAAGGTTTTTTTTTTTTTTTACTATTGTAAAGTAGCGGTGTAGCGCAACCAAACGCTACATTCCGTTTTGCGTTCTGACGAGCCACGAGCCTGTAATGCATTGAAGCAGCGCACGCGGCGTCTTCTTCTGACTAATCACAAACTAAATTAGTTCATTAGTCTTTCCACCAACAAAAGATCGTCTGATGATGTTGCAAAGGATGTACAGGAGTGGATATTTCATATTAATCAACTGTAATTTACGCAAAACAAAGATTACAATGCGGTCTACGTCTAAGAATTTTTCTTCTTTATTGCACTCTAGATCAAATGTCTATTTTACAATGATGAACGGTCATAATATAATCTGTGCCCCACAGTTTTGTAATGAACACTAATCGAACCGATAATAAAATCGTGATATTGTAGTGTGCTTATCATTTGGCAAAGGATGGTTGTGGCAGGATGTTCACGCGCGAAGCTGATGATTGACGTCTCCATTCAGTAAATAGTATTTTATTATTGTGTGTATCGAATAGTTTACAAAATCAAATGTTTGGGACACTTTTTGTCTTTGAAATGGCTTGGAAAAGTGTCCCAGTCCACCTGAATTCACCGTACTCTTTGAAATCATGATTGCATTACAGTATGTAGTTTTAAACCCCAAATATTTTACTTATAACTTAATTATAATTCTTCATAATTATTTGGTTATTTGTAATGTTAATTGTACAAAAAAGAATAATAATTAAAAAATTTTTTTCAAAAGGGTAGCTTGAATGTAGCTTAACTACTTGAATTTACGAGTAGCTTGTAGCTTTCCCAACACTGATAAGACACCTGTCCACCCAATCTGTATCTTTCATTCCAATTTCTCCCACCACCATGGACAAGACCAAAGAGCTGTCAAAGCATGTCAGAGACAAGATTGTAGATCTGCACACGGCTTGAATGGGCTACAAGACCATCAGCAAGAAGCTTGGTGAGAAGGAGACAACTGTTGGTGCAATTATTTGGAAATGGAAGAAATACAAAACAACCATCAATCTGCCTCGGTCTGGAGCTCTGTGCAAGATCTCGCCTCATGAGAAAGGTGAGGGATCAGCCCCGAACTACACGGGATGAGCTTGTTAATGATCTTAAGGCAGTTGGGACCACAGACACCAAGCAATCCATTGGTGACACACTACGCCCCAATGGACTGAAATCCTGCAGCGCCCGCAAGGTCCCCCGGCTCAAGAAGGCACATGTACAGGCCTGTTTAAAGTTTGCCAAAGAACATCTAAATGATTCCGAGAAGGCTTGGGAGAAAGTGCTGTGGTCAGATGAGACCAAAATTGAGCTCTTTGGCATTAACTCAACTCGCTGTTTGGAGGGAGAGAAATGCTGACTATGACCCCAAGAACACCATCCCTACAGTCGAGCACGGAGCTGGAAACATGCTTTGGGGCTGTTTTCTGCTAAGGGTACAGGACAACTTCACCGCATTGAGGGGCAAATGGACGGGGCCATGTACTGTACAATCTTGGACGAGAACCTCCTTCCCTCAGCCAGAACACTGAAGATGGGTCACGGATGGGTCTTCCAGCATGACGATGACCCGAAACATACCGCCAAGGCAACAAAGGAGTGTCTCAAGAAGAAGCACATTAAGGTCATGGAGTGGCCTAGCCAGTCTCCAGACCTCAATCCTATAGAAAATGTGGAGGGAGCTAAAACTTAGAGTTGCCAAACCACAGCCAAGAAACCTTAAGGATTTAGAAAGAATCTGTAAAGAGGAGTGGACCAAAATCCCTCCTGAGATGTGTGCAAATCTGGTGACCAACTACAAACAACATCATATCTCTGTGCTTGCCAACAAGGGTTTCTGCACCAAGTACTAAGTCATGTTTTGCTTGGGGATCAAATACTTACTTCACTCACTGAAATGCAAATCAGTTTCTAACCTTTATATAATGCGTTTTTTTTTTCTGGATTTTTTGGTTGGTATTCTGTCTCTATACGTTAAAATAAACATCAAATGATGGTTGTTTTTTGTGTATATTGTCATAATTATTCATACGTTATGAATAACAATAAAGATTCATTAATTAATTAATTGTAAAAATAACAAAGCATTATGCAGATATAGGCTTTTGTGTGGAGCAGCATTTACTACAAACTAAACTGCAGAAAACAACAGTTGCTTTTTATTATTGAGGATTTTACCTGAATGCACATTTTGTTAAAAAATGATCGTGCCAGAAGTATTGCGGAAAAACATCCAGATTAATGTGGATGTAGTCTAACTTTGTTCAAGTGATTTTTAAAGTTGTGTTTCTTTCAGATGCCATTGCTGGTTCATCATCTGATGAAGACGAAGAAACAGCCTTGACCTCAAAAAATCAGCTGAAGAGTTTCTCCTGCATCACCTGTGGAAAAACATTGAGTTCACAGGGTCATCTAGTGAGACACGAGAGAACACACACAGAACAGAAAGACTTCAGCTGCAAGAGATGCGACATCAGCTTTTCATCCGCAGAAGAGAGGAAACTTCATTCAAAAGAGCACAGGGTGAAGAAGGAGTTTCGCTGTGAACAGTGCGGGAAGGAGGTGGAATGACCTGCACAACTCAATCCCAGCAGCTGAGTCCTTAACCATCTTCAAGAATCGGCTAAAAACACATCTGTTCCATCTTTGTTTGACCCTCTAACTTTAGCACTTTCTATTCTATTTTAATTCTACTTTATCTATTTATACTTATAAATAGATTATAGATTATATCTATTTATACTTATTTTAAAAAAGTAACACTAGCTTTCTATTTTTTCTGATCTATCTACTTGTTTTTCTTTGTGTGTGTGTGTGTGTGTATATATAAGTAATACATTGCTACGTGTACTGTGTTAAGCTAACCGAGACTTGTCATTTGCACTTACATATTGTTGCTCTTTTGTTAGTTTTGATTGCTGCTATTGTGCTCATTTGTAAGTGGCTTTGGATAAAAGTGTCTGCTAAATGACTAAATGTAAATGGGTGGTGAATGTTAAATTTTCAAATTCACTTTATCAATGTCTATGCATGAGTTTAATTAACTTGCAGGCTTTTTGCGATTGATTAACTACACTAAACCATATTGCATTTTTTTATTATTAATGATTCACCCCTAGACTTATATAGACAGATATTACAGGATTTCTGTATGACACACAAACTCTTTTCAAGTATATTTTTAAACCCAGAATTTATAATTATTTTGTTCATTTCAGATGACAAAGGCGGTTCATCTTCTGATGGAGAAACAGCCTTAACATCAAAAGAGCAGCTGAAGGTCAAAAGTTTTTCTCATGCCAAGTGTGGAAAAACACTGAGCTCAAAGAGAAACTTAACGAGATACAAGAGAACACACACAGAACAGAAAGACTTCAGCTGCAAGAGATGCGACATCAGCTTTTCATCCGCAGAAGAGAGGAAGCTTCATTCAAAAGAGCACAGGGTGAAGAAGGAGTTTCGCTGTGAACAGTGCGGGAAGGATTTTTTCACCACTGCTCAAAAAATGAAAGTTCATATAAAGACACACGACGAAAAGTCTTTCCAGTGCAGCGAATGTGAAAAGTATTTCCGCACCAAAGCAAATCTGGAAGCTCATAAGCGAATCCACACGGGAGAAAGACCGTACAAGTGCCCTCACTGCGAGAAGACCTACAACCACGGATCTCATCTGAAGAAACATGTGCGTGTTCACACCAATGAGAGACCGTACCAGTGCAGCGAATGTGGGAAAACCTTCACAGAGTCAGGCAGTCTAAAGTCACACCAGAGAATCCACTCTGAGGAGAAACCGTATCAGTGCAAACACTGTGACAAACGCTTCCGGCAGAAATCCCATCTGAAGTGTCACGAGCGCATGCACACCGGAGAGAAACCGTACCTGTGCTCCCACTGCGGGAAGAGCTTTTCCAATCCGACACATTTCAGAGTTCATCAAAGAATTCACACGGGAGAAAAACCGTATCACTGCAGCGTTTGTGAGAAGAGGTTCAGAAAGTATGTTAATTTACAGAGGCACACAACGATTCATACCAGAGAAAGACCGTTCAAATGCTCGCAGTGTGACAAGACGTTTGCTCGATCAGACGTCCTGAAGGTCCATCAGCGAGTTCACACCGGAGAGAAACCTTACTGCTGCTCCATCTGCAGCGAGAGATTCGCTTATTTAGGTAGCTTTCAGACCCATCAGAACAAAGTATGTTAATTTACAGAGGCACACAACGATTCATACCAGAGAAAGACTGTTTAAATGCTCGCAGTGTGACAAGACGTTTGCTCGATCAGACGTCCTGAAGGTCCATCAGCGAGTTCACACCGGAGAGAAACCTTACTGCTGCTCCATCTGCGGCGAGAGATTCGCTTATTTAGGTAGCTTTCAGACCCATCAGAACAAACACGCTAAAGAAGAAACTGCTCCAGAATCATCAGAGTGACTTTTCAGCCTTGGCTTTATTTCTGCAGTTGCTTTCATCATTTATGTGTGTGGAAGACCATTTTTGCAAAATAAGAAAAAAAAATCATGCTTTGGTAAGTCATAATTATGACATAAAAAGTCATGATTATGATATGAATAGTCAAAATTATGACAGTCATAATTATGCGATTATAAAAATTTTATGACAGCCAAAAGTTTGACCAAGTATATATACATTTAGATTTTTTTAATCTCACAATTAGTCATACAAAGCACTTAGTATGTCATAATTTATCATTTTGTGCCACAATGACTAATATATATATATATTGAGACCAAAGAACACAGCTGTGATGTGCGGCAAAAGGTTGTTGAGCTTCACACAATGGGAAGTGGCTGAAAGAAAATAGCAAAAACACTGAAAATGCCCATTTCCACCACCAAGGCAATAATTAAGAAATTCCGGGCAATTGGAAGTGTTATGAATCAACCTGGAAGAGGACGTGTGTCTATCTTGTCCCAGCACACTGTCAGGAGGATGATTCGAGTGGCCAAAAAATCTACCAAGAATCACAGCTGCAGGTCCCCAACTCGCTTAACAGGCCAGCTCGAGCAGGAGCGCTGTCTTGAGAGAGAGCGCTCGCAAGCTCGCTGATTGAATGGGCTCGAACGGGGGTCCTGTGAGAGCGTCAAGCACAAGCTCCAAATCCCAAGTGGGCAGGGTGGAAGGGCAAGGAGGGTTCAGCCTTCTTGCTCCTTTTAAAAATCGTATGATCAGGTCATTTCAGCCGATTGTGCGATTATCGTCGTGTGCATGGAACGCTGCTATAGTGGCCACACACACTTTCAATGTGGATGGCATACGACCACCATCAAATCGCTCTTGAAGGAAGGCAAGAATTATTGGTATTGGGCAGTTGAATAAAACAACGGGCAGTGAGTGTTCTCCGCTGATGCGAATAGATCCACCTCCGCCCTGCTGAATACACTCCAAATCATATTGACTGTGACCCCGCCCCTTTGACAGTAAGTCCTCGCCGTAATTCAGGCATCCGGGGATACATGCACGGATGGAGAGGAGGTGTCGATCAGCCCACAGAAGAAGCTCTCTCGCCAGCCGCAGCAGCAGCCGCGAGCTCACGCCCCCTTGATGATTTATAAACGCTACCACTGTCATGCTGTCCGTCCTGATGAGAACGTAACGGTGGAGAATGTCCGGGAGAAAGCACTCACTAGGTGTACAGCCCGGAGCTCCAGACAGTTTATGTGCCACAACTTCTCAGTTTCTGACCACGTCCCAAAGGCTGGCCTGCCGTCGCATACGGCTCCCCAGCCCGTGCTCGATGCATCTGTCGTAACAGTCTTTCTCCTGAACACTTGGCCAATAAGAACACCCCGGCGATACAGAGTCATATCGTGCCATGGGGTCAGCGCATCCCAGCAGTCGCACGTCACTTTGATGCACAAGGTGCCCGTGCGCCATGCGCTCTGTGGCACCCGGCCCTTTAGCTAGAGCTGAAGCGGTCGCATATGTTGGAGCCCTAGTTTGCACACTGTCGAAGCGGCAGCCATCTGGCCGAGCGTCCTCTGAAAGCATTTCAGCGGGAGAGAGTGCCCTAACTTGAAGATTGTGAGAGAGCTGATCGGTTTTTGTGAGCGCTCCTCCAACAGATGCGCTCGCATATTGATTGAATTCAGTTCCACTCCTAAAAAGGAGATGTTTTGGCTTGGTACCAGCATGCTCTTTTGCATATTCACAGTCAGCCCTAAGCTCTGAAGATGAGCAAGAAGTCTGAGCTTGTCGCTGAGCAGCACACTCTCTGATTGGGCTAAGACTAGCCAATCGTCGAGATAGTTCAGGGTCCGCATTCCACTCTGCTTCAGAGGAGAGAGAGCAGCATCCATGCATTTCGTAAACGTACGAGGGGCCAGGGATATACCGAAGGGTAGGACCGTGAATTGGTACGCTATCCCCTCGAATGCAAATCTCAGGAAATGCCTGTGGCGTGGGGCTACCTGAATGTGAAAATAAGCATCCTTTAAATCCACGGAGATAAACCAATCTCCCGGTCTGATGTGTGAGAGGATTTGTCTCAGCATAATCATTTTGAACGAGTGCCTCGAAAGCGCACAATTCAGCAGTCTCAGGTCCAAGATTGGAGTCCGCTGTCTTTCTTTGGTAACAGAAAATAACGACTGTAGAAGCCGCTCTCGCGGTCTGCTAGGGGCACTGTCTCTACAGCGCGTTTTGTGAGGAGGTTGTGTATTGCAGGTGATTGCAGACTCACCTTAAAACCTAGGAAGGGTTATGCGCCTAAAGTGCTTTCGACTCCATTTAAAGGGCAGGTCATAACACTATCTGCTTTCTGTCCCGAAACACTGGCTGGGCCGGAGCCGCTTAATACACACTTGCTGTGCCCTGTACATGCAGTGCTCATTTATATCGAGCGCTGTAGACAGTTCAGGCTCTCGAACCAGCTATTTGTATGCTTTGGAGGGCGCACAAAAGGCCTGCCTGTGTCCAAGCAAAGGCTGTCACACTGGATCGTTGACGCAATTGCTTTGGCTTATGGCTCTAAGGGCGTGAAATGTCCTATAGGGGTTCGGGCCCACTCAACCCGCGGACTCGAGTCCTTGTGGGCCTGGGAAAATGGCATATCTATTCAGGACATATGCATGGCGGCAGGCTGGTCCTCACCCAGCACTTTCGCGAGGTTTTATAACCTAGATGTGTCGTCGCTTGCCTCACATGTGCTGTCAGTGCGAGCAGTGCACGCGCCTACTCCGCCTCAGTTATGATCTGAGCTGCTTGACTCAGTGGTTTCGACTAGGTCGCATACATATTGTTATGATATAGTTCATCACGTCTTTTAGGACATGATCACCATCATACTCTGCTTATCTGAGCACCGGTACGACCGTTGCATAACACATAATTTCATTTAAATTAAACAAACTTCAACTAATCTATATGTGATAGTGCCGGAGCCGGCGGCATTTCACATTCTGTTTCACCGGTGTTAACTCCACCCCTGGTGTGACGCGGCATCCTCTAGTTTCCGCGCCCCCTTGACTTTTACATGGTTTCGACTAGGTCCTGTAGACCTGAGCTATGTTTAACAAGAGCGCCAATATCATTGCCGCTCTCATTACGGTTTCGTATGTGAAACTTGACATAGTCGAGCCAGGCTCCATCGCTGTGACACGGCGGGATTTTATACATTCCCATAGCAATGTAGAGTGACCGAATCTAAAGGGAATGCTCTCGGTTACTCATGTAACCTCGGTTCCCTGAGATGAGGGAACGAGACATTGCTCTTATTGCCGAGTCACCTAGCTCAGGATCTTAGAATGCCAAGTTGCTTCAGTCAAGATTCTGAATAGATGACGTACAAGCGCTGCTTTATATAGAGTGGGAGCCCCTCTTTTTTCGAACGCCATTGGCCAGTTTCACTGGCGTGATTCAATAAGGCTTCAGTATTATTTGGAGGAAAGGGAAATTCACTTAGCAATGTCTCGTTCCCTAATCTCAGGGAACCGAGGTTACGTGAGTAACCGAGAGCGTTTTTGAGACAAAGAATTGAGGGAGAGAGAGAACATGAAATAGAGAGAAAATGAACAGGGATCTACGCAGAAGGGAGGAGATCCTAAGAGAATGACGCAGAGTAAATAGAATGACGCTTTAAAAAGAGCAGTCGTATACTTTTAAAAAATCTTTCACATCTTAATAAATAGAGTTTGAATATCAATCATATTTAGTTGTGACATGCAGCAGGGGGCTCTAGAAGAGTTTCAGTTACGTACTGATTGACTGAATTTTGTTGATGAAATTTTTTTTTTGTGTTGGATTAAAAACATGTTGATATCGTTTGTTTCCAAATTAAACTTTCTTCTTTGACATATTCATAAAAAATACTTCTCTCTTTCTCTTTAAAGCAATAACTACCATTTCTGTCCTTTAGTGTGGCGTTATGTCCTACGGTGTGACGCAAAAGAACAACAGATTTGTTTTCAAAATCTCAAAATATCTTAAAGAACATATAATCATCAGTCTTCTAAAAAATCAACTGTTTGTTAATAGAACTAAGTAGAACTGTTGCATTAATATTGTACTCACAATTATCCTGTTGTGTAGAAGCTGTTGTCTGGATGATTCTTATTCAATCTGTCAAGAATATCCTTGCTGTAAGTATGGCCAATAGAACGTTTTTCCCCCATATACCCTACATAAGTACTGTATATTTTAATTCTCACAATATTTAAACATTGCACTTTAAACAGACTTAAATTAGAAGAGCAAAAGCTCGTGGTTACAGACAGCTGCTGTCAGGATAACGGTCAATAACGGTCAATAACGGTTTTAAGGCGGGGCTTCAGTTGCTTGAGAAGCAACTTTGTCTTTACCACCAGCAATTTCCTAAACTCACGTAAATTAGACACACGCAAAATACGGTCACTAATATCGGCTCCTAAGTTTTACTAAAGTATTTCACATATGTAACGAAAAACGGGTTAAACTAATAATTGTATCTATCGCCCCGCCCATTTTCCTACGATCACCCGCTGTCTGCCAATGCCGCTCTCGATGGACTTGACCGACATCAGCAGTGGCCAATAGAAACGCGCGGTTTGCAGACAAGGGTCGTGGTTTCTTCTCTCTCTCTGACAACTGGAGTTCGACTTCTTCTTGGGTCCGTTTTATTTGCGTTCAAACGCGTTATTTCGGGTCGACGCGTCTTTGAGCGCGTAGTAAGTGAGTGGTGAAGAGATCGGTGAAGTTTCTGCGGGGTTTGTAGCGTCTGAGGGAAGCTGGGCAATAGAAATTAATACCGTTTTTTTTCATACAGCTACACAGTGATCACCAGTGTTGGGGAAAGTTTTAAAAGTAATGCATTACAATATTGCGTTACTCCGTAAAATGTAACTAATTGCGTTACTTAGTTACTTTTTATAGAAAGTGATGCGCTATGATACTTTTATAATTTTAAATATACAAAAATTAAAATGAAACAATTGAAA